ATCCTCTGCTTCCATGGCGTATGATTTGTCGAACAGCTTTCTTACATTTATCAAGGAGTTCGTTATGCCTGTACCCACCTGAAATGCAGTGTCAATGAGGCCTACGTTTCCATCTACGCATCGATACGTCGAGCAATGTATTCAATAAGAATGGAACACCAAGTAACTTCAATTGATTTCTTGTGAACTAGCTCAGAAGAGTAGAAAAGCAACAGTGAATTTCAAACTACTATACTATCAGAGACCTATGTTGATCCTACTATACACCAAATTATGACAATCTTGTGTATGCTTATGAGGCAAAAGAATTGCTCAAACATAATAATTGGTTAAACCAAGCCAAAGGCAGACCAAAGTGGGGGAAACAACAGGCTTACCACCGATGCACCACTCCCTACAGCAAATAACTTGGCCCCATTACGCTGCAAATGAACATATGAAATCACATTGAGTAAAAGTAAACATTCAAATAGCTCAATAAATTCAGCTCAAACACACAAGACATACCACCACAGCACCAACCCTTTGGAGAAACGAATACGAGGTACCTGCAAAAGCCACCTGCAGAACCAGAATTTCATTTGGGAATTTTGTCGAACACCTAATGTTCATTGCGATTCTTGGAAACTCAAAAATGCCCATATGCAGAATTGAAATAATAGAAAGTATTGACATGATGGATATTGATATTGAGGCAAGAGAATGGTGTATACAAGTGAAAAATTTGAAAAAGTTTGTTTGGGATTCAGGGGAAAGATACCTGGAAGGCGTTTTCAGGGCAGCCATAGAAGACCTTGGTGAGAAGTCCAGCACTGATTGTTAGAGGAGGTTTGAGAGAGACGGTGGGAGCTGGAAGCCAAACAAGCATGAAATCTGCCACAATGGCCATGATCTGTTCTTCATTCAAGAAGAAAAAAAAAAAAAAAAAACTTGGTAATTATTTCATATTTCTAATTCTTTTATTGTTGTTTGTACATTGAAAAAAGAAACAAAAACAAAAATTCTTGAAAATTATTTCTAAATATAAACATCCAAAAAAATATATATATATTTTAATATATATCTGAATAATCCTCTATTTATAAAGAAGTACTATTTTAGTTTTAGTTTTTAAAAATAAAAATATATTTTAATATATATCGGAAAAGTTTTTTTTTATAAAAAAAAATTACTTTTTAACATTAAAAAACAAAAATGAAAGTTATTTAAAAGGTTTGAAGGTTAAATGAGGGCACATACCACGTCAGCACAAACAAAATCCAGCTCCTTGCTAAAGTTTTCCTTGCGTTTCTCCAGCTCTGCAGCAGTCTTAACAAAACACAGCCACATATTACAAATTTAAATAATCTCTCATTTCTCTATATAAAACAAAATAGATCATCTTTAATTTTTTTTATCCTAATTTTAGGGGTCGTCCTATGATTCCATAACCGGATCAACTCAAACTACATTGGATATTCAAAATTTTATGCCAGGTTACTAATATTTTTTTACCAGACTAATTTTGACCCATTTAAAAATAAGGTTACAACCAAACTAACTCTACTTTCCATTTAAAATTTATTATAAAAATAAAAAACATTTGACGTGTGTACATGTTGTTAATGAAATTTTAGAACATATAAATATTTAATGTTCGAGTTTATGAGATTTTAGTTATTAGTTATATAATGATAATTAGGATTTTTAATAATTAAAAAAAAAAAAAAAAAAAAAAAAAAAAAAAAAAAAAAAAAAAAAAAAA